GCCCTACTCCTATCTTACCTTCAGAACGTAAGTTTAAGTATGTGGAGCAAATACAGTAGCAAAGAAACCATGTTGAAAACAATTAAGAAGAGAACAAGTAGCGACAACAAATAACACGATAACTGATGCAAACGGGAACTAAACAAATGCTTTACTGCCTATCAATTAAAAACCAAACCGCAGAGCAAAAAGTTAAAAATCTTACCTGTTAAGCAACTCAGTCATTTGGCCCATAAAGTATTCATGATACTAAAGAGTCTCCCCATAACATTGCTCATGCATATCCCATGGAGAATGGTACAAACCCAGTTCCAGACTATCATGGGAATTAATTAATGGGTGGATGTTGTTTTTTGCCGTCACGTCTAAAATTTGAAAATATTTGGTTCTTAGGGTGTAATGTTTTGATTATTGATTATGCAGTTGAACATTTTGGGATTGTTTGTTAAGGGTATTTAGTTAATGGGTGAATGATATTTTTGTGAACTGGCTGCCTAAATTTCCAATATCCAGTTCTTAGGGTTTAAGGTTTTTGATTGTTGATTGTCTGATTGAGCATTTTAGTTCCTTTTTCCAAACTGCTTAACGGGTCGATGCTCTTTTTGTGAACAGCCTCCAGCGAAGATGGTACCCCGTACGATTGAGAATACAAGGGAATCAGATGAGACTGTCTGTTTACCTGATGATGAAGAGGTTTTCGATTATTCTTGTTTGATTCTTCAAGTTAATAGTGAAATATATGTAGTTTTATCACTGGAGGTTTGGCCATTAAATATTCTGGTGTTCCTCCTGATTTGTGTTTGAAGCTATTTGCTGGCAACGATGTTGATGAGTTTAGTGCAGTTCTGAAGAACGAGCGTAGTCCAAAAATATTGATTACAACATCCCGTTATAACTCTACAGTAAGCTTGTATAATTTGTGCTTCCCTATTGCTTTGATTATTGTTGACTTTGAATTTAATTCCACAAATAATTTCGTTATTCCATTCTTCAGAGAGGACCAGCATTTATTTCCGATCTTATTTCTGTGATTCCTAATGCTCATTACTATAAACGAGGAACATATGACCTGAAAAAGGTTCTTTCTTGCCTTCTCTTTTCTCATTCCTTTTATGTTTCTTGGTGATATGAATGAATGCCCTCATATTATTCAAATTCAAGGAGTTTTTCCATTGTACTAGTTCGAAATGTTCATTGCTTTTCTAACTTTTGCAGATCGTCCAATATGCAAATGAGAAGGAATTTACTTCTGTTATTGTAGTCCACACCAATCGCCGTGAGCCAGGTCATATTCTTGAACACATAGCTTTTTTTGATTCCTCTAAAAATAGCTATGGATTGTGTTCTTGCATTCATTCACCTTTCCAGTTTCTTTGTTGGTCTGAATTGCCAGCTTGATCATTTTTTTCATTTTCTTTCTTTAGATGCTCTTCTTGTCATTGGTTTACCTGATGGACCTACTGCTCATTTCAAGCTCTCAAAGCTCATGCTACGGAAGGATATCAAGGTTCGATAGTTCTCCTTCTAAATAGATCTTTCTCCCCCACCTTCACTGAAAAAATGCAGGGAAAGAAAAGGAACGTAGTAAGGGAACTTACAACTTATGCTGTTGTCTAATTGCTTCTGGTTGATGCATTTTACACTAAACATTACAGTTTTATTAATTCCTGCAAAAAGAATCAAATGAGAATGAGCTTGTCTTGAAGTCAGCTGAGTTGTATGAATTAAATCAACAGTCGAAGTTATTTGGTTCTCTTAGAAATTACTAATGTTTTCAAATAGATGATGTTGTGTCTGACTTTTTTGTGGAAATTTCATCCTATTGCATTGCCTCGTGCCATATTAACAATTAGTTTGGTTTTCCTCTACATTTTTTGTGAGTGATTTGCACGTATGTCATGCTGTCTTTGTACTATGATAATCAATCAGGTATCAAGAAGTTGTATTATGCAGGACAAGATTAAGTGCTACTCCCTACATTTCAAATTAATTGAAAATCAGTGAAATGTTGATGTGTTCCAACAAGGGAGTGAAGGTTAGGCTGCTAAAATTGAGATGTGAATGCTAAGATGGATGTACCGACATACGAGATTATATAAGATAAAAAATGATCACATTCGCCACAAAGTGCAAACAGCACACATTGAGGATACGATGAAAGAAAATCGTTTTGAGATGATTTGGTCATGTGCTGCGTTGACACCAGATACACCACAGTAAGTGAAGGTGATAAAATAGAAGAGATGGACCTAAACTTAAACGGAAGAAAGTTGTCTACAAAGACCTATGGTATCTTGAAATGAATGCTGAATTTGTGAAAGATATAACACAACAGTAGAGAAATATTTATATAGGTGAATATAAATTAATTGAGAATATATATTCTTTCCTTGGGGCCAACGCTTAGGACCATCTGCAGCCTTTGAACCTCGAGGATAATGGACTAAAATATGACCTCAACTAATAGCTTTCATGACTTGGTTCAAGTGACGAAGGTTGAGTGACTTGTGAGTTGTGACTTAGGTCAGAAGTTCAAGTCGCACGCCAATTCTAACCAAGCCTGGTACTTAAGTGGAGAAGGATGGAAAAACATACTTTAGTGTCAGCGGAATCACTAGGACATGCTCATTTTATTTTTTTGATACTAGACATGCTCATTTTAGCAAAAGTGAAAAAGTCTGTCTGGGATTATTTTTAAAAGGAGTCCACTTGAGAAGGTGAAAGCTGTGCGTTCTCTTCTTGGAGAGAGAAGCCTAATTTATTGCAAGTTAACCACCATTCAGAAAATTCCTTTTTCATAATGGTTCTAATGCTAATGCTGCTGTGTGTATCTATGTATAACTCAGCATAAGATGTTGTAAGTTAAAGCAATCAATCAATGAGGTTAATATGAATAGTAGATATTCAAGTAACGACTCCTTTTTTGCTTGCAGAATCATGGAAAGCCAACTAGTCACAAGCCTGAGCTGGTTTTGACCAACTTCACAACACGTTTGGGTCATCGAGTTGGGAGGTAGAGCCACTATGATTTTGCTGGATTACTGTAATTCTTGTAATTATTTCCAGCGACCAAGTATCTGAGACATTTTATACATTAATAAAAGTTGACACCATTTACTGATGGAGAGATAGAAATAAGATGAAAATCTATCTTTAACTTATAGCTCCTCTTTGAGAAACTTATGTTACAAGTGATTATCTAAGATAATAAATGTCTGCTGATTTTGTTCATGCAGGATGATACAGTCACTTTTTCCACAAGATCCCGAATTTCGTGGACGTCGAGTTGTGACCTTCCACAACCAGCGTGATTTCATATTTTTTCGCCATCATCGGTATGCCCTCATTAAACCTTGTGTTTTCCGCTTCTGTTTCTAAATTTGAATAGTAGGACTCTTACTAACATGTTCTGCTGATGTACTTGTTCGCTTTTGTGAAGCTACATTTTTGAAACCAAAGAGAGCAAACAGAAAGAATCAAAAGGTAAAAAAAGCAAGGATGAGAAGAACCCACAAGAAAGGACAATTGCCCGTCTGCAGGTTTGTGGTTCTGATTCTACTGCATTGATTTTAGGAATACAGGGTTATTTTCAAGATATTTAAGAGTCTTTTCAAACCCTTGAATGAAGCGGGTTGCGTCTTATGGGGTTGTTGCTAGTTAAGGGAGGATAACTCTTTGATGTTGGATTGGAAAGGAAGGAACAAAACTATTTTCATGTAATACTGAATTTCTGCTGTTGTTAGACAAGCCTAGTTGTCTATCTGGAACCTCTGAGAAAAATTCAGCTCTAAATGAAAAAACTTAATGGGAGTGGAAAACAACACAGCTCAAAGAAATTTGCATGGGCACAAAATTGTTCACCTTTTGCATTAGTATGTCTACTCATAGCTTGTGCAGCTAAAGACCTATACACAGCCTATTAAAGCTTTGATCCAACAAGAAGGATTTCTAGTTGCTGAATCGAAGTGAAACAGATACAATTAACTTGGAACCACAATTGAATATCCGTGAAACAGCTTTGCAATTAGCTACCAGTAGAATCCCAAGACAAAATCTCATGTTTTTTCTTTCCATTTGGGGTGAGGGTGTGAACTAATTTCATCTCTTATTTTGTCTTCGTTTTGTCCTTCCTATCTACGAGAGCTGTCATTATATTTGTCCCTAGTAATCAATCAGTTACATTTTGGATGAATGAAAATAGTTTCGATGGTGCCCATAGCTGTTGTTTTTTTGTGCATGCCAGCTTGACTTTTTGGTGTTTTCCGACTTACAGGAGTGTGGGCCTCGATTTACTCTCAAATTAATCAGTCTCCAGCATGGTACTTTTGATACTAAGGGTGGGGAATATGAATGGGTTCACAAGGTAATTCATGTGAAAAAAAGATGTCGTTTGTATATACTTTTCAACTGAGCTTATGCTTTTCCATACTTTAAATGGATTCTGAACTTGTTTGTCATTGGTGATAAATTCTCTGATCCATCCTGTTTTGTTTCAGCCGGAGATGGATACAAGTCGACGGAGATTTTTCCTGTGATAATGTTGGATGTTTCTGCTGCTGGGATTTCAAGGTCTTTGTACCCAAACCATGTTAAAGAAGAATACCAACTATCTGAGGCTGAAGTTCACTATAAAAGTTTTGATCTTTTCTAATTAACTGCTTTTTTTGTAATGGACTATCTCTTATAGTAATCTATTAAAGTAGAAAGATGGGTTTTAGTCTTTGTTCTCAACTTCATAAAAGTTGTATGTGTAACCTTTAGTAACAAGATGATTAATTACTTAATTTAAGGTTGCTGATGTAAGAGCTATCGGAATCAATCTCTCTACCTCCCAAGTTAGGGGGTAAGGTCTACGTACATACCACCCTCTCTAGTATGTTGTTGATGTGAAAGCGTAGAGCCAAAAGCTAACTCTATGCTCGGTAGCTACTAGAAGTTGCACTGCTGCTCGACTATATGACTCAGTTGGAAGTCAAATGGAACTTACAATACCATATGTCTCAAATAGAATAATCATATGGAAAAAAAATATGAGAAAGGCACAACATCGGTACAACAGAATAGTTCACGTTTTTCTAGTACAACAGCAAACATACAACAACAATAAATCTCGGGAGGATAAAGTGTACACGTACCTTGCCCTACTTGAGGAAGTAGAGAGGCGAGTTTCGAACTATATCAATCTTTCTTTACTACATAAGTGGGTCCTTATCTCATTCTCTGAATGTGACCTACATATATATTGCTTGCTCCTACATCACCTTTAACATTACACATTAACTTTTGACCCTAAGTAAATAACCCATACAACAAGTATAAACCTTTCCAGTAGATGCAAGTTGAAGAATAGGCTTCTGCTACCAATTTGTGATCATGCTTCAGTAATAAAATTCTTTAGTGGTGACCGATAGGCTTTTTTCTACGAGCACCTGTCGAAAGAAAATCCATACACGTTAACAAACATAACGTAATACAACATTCACTGGACTTACTAAATCTGCTATCGTCAAAACCAACACAACATATGGGGGATTTTACGTATTAGCAAATGTATGCAAAAGAGTAACTAAAGTCTAAAGATAAACAAAGCACTGCTCCACATAACAACACCTTCATTATTCTTCATCATGTAACAATTCCTACATGATTATATCACTGTATAAGCAATTCTTGCATTATAATACCTACATAACTAGTTTACAAACTAAACAACCTCTAAACATACTAACACATTAAGATACTTCCGTTTTTTGACTAATCTAGAAGCTAAAATAGTAGTCCTCTGAAGAAAGAATGGAAAAGTTTAGTCATTTCACTTTAAGAAACTAAAGATGGGCTCAAAAGTTTGCAGTATAAAACAAATCATTTTGCAAACTAGGGGCGTTGGTTTCCTGTATAGCAAACTCAATCTTTTGTGTTAATCAGACTATATCTAACAGTTAATATTTTAAATTTATTGTGGAAAAAGTTAAAATCTGATAGAGATTTCTATGTACTGAAGATGATAGACAACATATATAATAGCAGCTCCTACTAAAACAAGAAGCTTTTCCAAGGAAAACCAAATACACCAATCATGCAGATGCTGCCTCCTCCTCTCACATTAAAAAAACAAATAGAACATGCTTGAATGCCACAAGGTCACATGGTTAATTTAAACTAAGTACTTGAATGAATTTCTACTCTTTAATCCTTTGATAGCTACTGAGTAACATACCTCTATGTATCAGTTTGGAAAACGAAAAATACAGATAGTCGACAAGAGCATATGCAGATACTTAGTTACTTTCATAGTTATATACATAGAGTCGGTCCTTAAAGTGACGTAAGGGTGCTGAGGAGCATATACAATGTTTATTGAACACAATTTCTTCACTAAACCACATGCAGCATACTAAAAGATCTAATGCTCAGTTTGCATTTAGAACATAGCTCATATGAAAGAGCAATAGAGAATATCAGCACACACTGACTGAACACCAGTACCAAACAGTTTTACGAATCGATCCAACTAAATTAACTGAAAAGTAACATTAGAATTATAATATTACTTGGGACAGCCCAAAGCCTGAGATGAGAAGTTACATTCTCAGAACCTTACCGGCAGACCTCTTGCTCCAAAGAACCTGAGTATCGATGGTTGTAAGATGTTCATCATCAAGTCGCTTCCATGTTTTAATAGATTTGACATCTCCCCACCCTCCTTTCCCTGTTTTTTCCAAAGATGCTACTACCATCCTTGCCCTCCTTGACCATCCAGCCTTCCCATAAGCGTGATATCCAAATCCTCCAGCATAGCAAAGATTTATGTCCATCAACTTGCCACAAAAATCATTTATGTGATCATGGCCAGCAAATGCTGCCTTTACATCACCACTTTCCACCATAGTGGTGAAGAAACCTGAATTTATTGAAGCAGAGCTTATGCCTTCTTGTCTAACCCCTGTGAAGTTTGATGAGTCAAAACTTGCATATTCAGGAAGTGGAATATGAAAGTAAGCAAGTCCTGGAGCAGGAGCCTTCCTAGCATTTGAATCGTGCAGGTAAGTTTTCTGCATTTGAAAGATTAATTGAGTTAGTGTCAATGCTCACAAGTTAAGAGATACAGTGACTAATATATATTTTTTGAGCAAGAAGAGACAATCGATTAATATAATAGCACCAAAACAGTAAATGTGGCACCTTAAGCTTCCTAGAGGTGCGTTGAAACCAGAACTGTTGAGAGGGTTTAATCCAACCATAACCAGGGATGGATGGAACAGTAGAGTAATCTCCACTGTCAAGGAAATACAGATTGAGAACGGACTTATTAGTCAGCTCGGAACCCTCAGTCCCATGGACTTCCAGATTATAATTCCCAAAACCATCAATATCAGGAACGTCGGGAGGATTCAATTGAGATAAAGTACTTTTCATGCCAATGATATGTTTCATCACGCCTTCCCTTGAGAGTGTAGATTCCTGGTCATGATTTCCTAGTACTGCAGCCCATGGTATGTTTGAAGATATTGCAGGAGCAAAAGCAGCATCCATGGAATTTACAGGATCTGTAGCATCAGATCCAAATATGTTGTCCCCTGCCATGGTTAAATTGGTTTAATAAAAGGGAAGGTTCAAACACAGTCAGTAAAGGGCAAAGCTTAGGGACGAAATTTTGATGTAATATTATTGAGCTGCTATTAAGAGGATACTTTTAAGTACTTAGATTTCAGAAAGAATTCAAATTGATAATTGTTCTTCTGTTTGAGTTCTTTGACTTTTGAGTTCAATCTGTTTCTGCGAAACAGCTCAAAATGCACTTCAATCCCTTGCAGTTACTCAAAACAAATACGTAATTAATCAATTTAAATGCATCTAGTTCAGAAATTTTACAAACTTACTGACAATAACCGAACTCAAACAACATCAAAATTCGAGATAAGTGTAAATATTCACACTCACTCCATTTCGTGAGCAAAGCCAATAACACTTAATGACAATAATCAGTCTAGCCTGTTTGGCCAAGCTTCTGAGAAGCCAAAAGTGAAGTTTCTTTTACAAACATATGTTTCAGCAAATCAAGGCGTTTGACAAAGCTTTTAGAAAACAAACAAGTGTCTTCGAGAAGCTCAAAAAATCAGCACCTCTCGAGAAACCTTACTTATTTTGGATGCTCAGCTGGAGTACTTTTTTTAAATGACTACGGTGTCCATGCCAGCTTTTGGACGCCTAGACTAATTCACCTCCCACCAGCAATAGGCACAACATGTACCTCATCACTCTCAACCACTTCATCAACCACTAGACTACATCCAATTCTCAGTCTGAGTACCTTTTCGAAAATTACTTTTAACAAATGATCTATGCAGTACAAATCAGGTCTATCATGAAAAAAAAACTCGTACAAGTGCATCAACAACCAAACACAACGCAAGGTATGAACATCAACTACAAAAATCGAAGAGACAGAGCGCGCGCGCGCGAGAGAGTGTGTGTTTACCGGTGAACACGATGAGATGAGGTTTCTCGGCGTGAATCATCCTGAAAATGAAATCCGTAGTATTGAGATCGGAACACGAAGACATCTGCTTCGGCAACACATCTTCACACGGCGTCGTTTTTCCATCTCCGTAGTGCATATCCGCCACCTGCAAAATCCTAAACTCACCATTTTTTCCGTCGAATCTCAACTTCGCTAGCGGATTAACAACTCCTCCAAATGCTTTACACAGTTGAAATGAGCTGAGAAATAGAAGCATTAGAATTAATTTTCTCAAATTCGAAATCTCCATAGCTGTAACAATCCTCACACTTCTAAGCTTTTTTTTTAAGAAAAACAGAGAAGGAGCAATAATAACGAGGAAGTACTTCTTATGATGGACCCATAATAAATAGATATTACTTTTTCGGATATAATTTAATTATTTAATAGATAAATAATAATAAAAACGGTAAAATAAATATTTAAAATTAAATTATTATTATTTAAATAATGTAAAAATGTAACTTTTTTAATACAAAAATATAGTATTTGTTATTTCAAAATATATCACCGATATATATACATACAACTTACAAGTGATAATATTAAGAAAAAAGATTTTTTTTAATTATATAAATAATATAATTTCTTTTTTTTTTTAAATAATCACGAGATGAGGTTTGTTTAATTTTTGTCGGATTCTATGGAATTGTCATTATTCTCAATCTTGTCAGTTTACTCGTGTAGTATGTCTAATTTAATAACTTTGGTTAAAGTTGAATTGATTAATTAAAATAAAATTTAGTTCAAAGAGTGGAATATGATACTAAACTTTGAAAAATATCGCATGATTTAATTATATATTTTAAATATATATATATATATATATATATATATATATATAATATATATA